TCAAGTGGTAACACTTTGTGAGGAGGGTGGAGGAAAAAAAAAAGATGAAAAAGATGCAAAAGCAAAAGAGGTCACTAATCATAAAATTCAAATCAAAAATATTTATTATTAAAATATTTAAAATGTATTTATTAATATTTCTCATAATATAATATAATATTTTTAATGTTATAATAAAATAATCAATTATATTATAATAATATAATATAAGATATTATATTTTTATTTTAATAATATATAATAAATTATTAATAATGAATAATATTATTTATATATTTAATAATAATATTATAATCTAAAAATATTTTAATAAAGATAATTAAAATATACTAATTAATATTTTTAAAATATAATATAACACTATTACTTTAATAAATAATTAATATAATTTATAATATTTTTATTTCAATAAAATATACCAATATTTTTATTTTTATTAATAAAATTATAAAATTAATATTTAATAATAATAAATTATATTAATATTTAAAAATAATAATATTAAGTTTTATGATAGATAATATTATTTATTGTATTTAATATTTGTAATAAATAATTTTAAAAAATTCATCAACTAGTGGAAAATGTGTTTAAACAACATATTCCAAACATCGTAAAACGTTTTCCAGAAAATTTAATTCATTTTACGAAAACTATTTCCGGAAAACATTTTAGTGAATCAAACGGACCCTATATTACACAAATTTCCACAATAATATCTATCATACCCCTTCAGTTGAAGAAAGAGGTGGCTGAATGCTGACTGTCTCGAAAATCATCAAATAATACGCGCAGAAGTCCTTTGGTAAAATATCAACAATTTGAAAACGAGAAAGAATATGAAGAACTCGAACTTCACCACGAGCCACCTTTCCACGTACAAAGTGAATGTCCATCTCGATGTGTTTTGTACATTAGTGTTGGATAGGATTACCCAAGAGATAAATAGAACTTACATTGTCACAGTACTCTAATGTAGCTTTTTCAATTGGATAATGAAGCTCAAGAATAAGGTTTTGGAGCCAACAAGATTGAAAAACAACATTAGCTACACTTCTGTATTCAACTTTAGCACTGAAGCGACACAATGTAGCTTGTCTTTTGGATAACCAGGAAACTAAGTTATCACCAAGGAATACACAATATCCAGAGGTAAACCTTCGTGTATCTGGAAAGCTACCCCAATCGACATCCGTATAAGAGATTAATTTGGTAATGAATGTTTGACAAATGTAAACCATAATGAGTAGTACCTTGGATGTAGCGTAAAATACGTTTCAGAGCATTCATGTGTTCTTTCTTTGGATCATGCATATGAGGACATACTTGTTGCACGGCATAGGACATATCAGACCTGGTAAATGTAAGATATTGTAAAGCTCCAGCTAAACGGCGATATTTAGTTGGGCCCTCATAAGGCTTGCCGATAGAAACACTAAGCTTCCCATTAGTGTCAACAGGAGTGGAGCACGACTTGAGAAAAGACATGATAGATAATCGAAGAGTATCAAAATATGTAGTGAGAATTATATCATCAACGTATTGTGTCTGGGAAAGAAAAAGGCCATGTGAATTCCGGGTTACTGCAATTCCCAAAAAATAACTCAACAGATCCATTTTTGTATAGAATAATGAATGATCAGACGTATTGTAAGAGAAACCAATGGTGGCCACATAGTCTGTAAAATGCAATGTTATTAAAACCGGATCGGCCGGTTCGACCGGTTAAACCGTGAACCGGTGGCCTGTCCGGTCCGGTTAACTCCCAAAACCGGATGAGCACAGAACCGGTAAAGAACCAGAAGAACCGATTGAAAACCGGTAAAACCGAGGTGAACCGGTAAAACTGGTTTGAACCGCCGGTTCACTTTTTTTTTCTTTAAAAAAAATTAAATCAAGCGACGTCGTTTGTTCAACGAACCGAGTCAAATTCGAGTATTGCTGAGCTCGACTCGAACTCGAAAACTTTAAAAGTAAGCTCAACTCGACTCAAAAACTCACGAGCTAAAAATTATCAAGTTCAACTCAAACTCGAAATATAATATTAAAACTCGAAATCGAAAAGGCTCGAACTCAAAAAAAAATTTAGAAGTTCGATTGAAGCCTAAAATTTGAGCTCAATTGAAGCGAAAGAAGAGTTCGCTTTGTGCTCATCAAAAGGCTCCATGATTTTGAATGTTAAATTACCTCTATTATTTATAGAAGTAAGTTGGGATGCTCTTCTATGTTTCTTAGCCATGTGGGATTTTGTTCTCATATTTTTACTCTTTAAACTTTTGGGATGCTCTTCTTTGTTTCTTAGCCATGTGAGATTGGTTTTTTTAAAACAATTAAACCAAATGACATCATTTGTTATGATTTTTTTAAGCCCCAATTTTATTTTTTTGATTATAGTTGTATAATTATATTTATTATTTAATATGTTTTACTTTAAATATTATGTTGTAGTTGATTTGAATCATTTTATTTCACTTGATTTTATGGTTTTTAATTTATATATGTTATGACTTGTGATATTTTTATACCTTTTAATATTGTAAACTTAAAAAAAGTGTTACATATATATTAATATTGCTTTGAATATTATGTAAAATTAAAAAAATATATTATTTTATATAAAATCTGGTTCAACCACGGTTGAACCCAGTTGAACCAGTGAACCAGTACCTTCAACAGTTCAATGTCCGGTCCAGTTTTAAAAACATTGGTAAAATGTTGATACCAGGCTCGAAGGGCTTGCTTAAGACTACAGAGTAATTTTTTCAACAAGCATACATAGTTAGGATGAGCGGCATCTTTGAAATCCAAAGGCTAATGCATATAAATAGTTTCATTTAGATTACCATGAAGATATTCATTTTTAACATCTAACTGATGAATGGCCCAAGATTTTGATAAAGCGACGATCAACACAGTATGAATAGTGGTTGGTTTAACAACCGGACTGAACGTCTCGTCACAATCTACTCCAGCTTGTTGAGACCTACCATCACCTATAAAACGGGCTTTGTGCCCTCAAAAGAGACATTAAATTTCATTTTATGTCTAAAAATCCATCTTGAACGAATAACATTAACATCAGATGGACGAGACACTAAGTCCCACGTCTTATTTTTTAATTAGATCATCATATTCATCTTTCAGGACCAATTTCCAATTTGGGTCTTTAAGAGCAAAGGGATGTGGGGTATAGGATACATAGAAGTAGTTGTGGAGAGGGCACTTAAGTTTTAGGAGTGAGCTTGTGTATACCATATTGACTTCTAGTTTCCATTCGGTTGGCTAGAAATGGAGGTCGAATGGATTTAGTGGAAATTGGATTAGGTCGAGGATGAGAAGAAGAGGCTGGGCTGGAGTTTGTGGTTGTCGTGGGAAAAAGAGAACGAGTGAGTTGGGGAGTGGGCTGTGTTGCTGCATTGGTAGGGGAAATGGGTGGTTGGGTCTGTTCATCCAACGGGGTAGGGGAATGCAATTGATGAAGGATTTGAGGGTGTAAACCATCATCTAAAAATTCATACGAGGAAGAAAAAAAGGGAATTGATATTCATGAAAAATAACAAGTCGAGAAATAATAATTTTCTTATTCGAAATGTCATAGTAATTATAACCCCAATGGTTTGATGGATAACCTAAGAAGACACATCGAGTAGAATGTGCTTATAATTTATTGATGTTGGTGGAAGGAAATAACGGGTAACGCAAGCATCCAAAAACCTTAAAATGGGTGTAATCTGGGATTTTTCCGTAAAGAATTTGAGTAGGTGAGTGGTGGTTTAATTTCTTTGAAGGGAGGATGTTTAGAAGATATGTTGCCATTTCGAGAGCATGGGGCCAAAATGAGGGTGGCATGGAAGAATGAGCACGTAAAGTACGAACCATGTTATTGATAGTTTTATTTTTCGTTTGGCTTTACCATTTTGAGATGAGGTATGAGGACATGACAAGCGAAAATATATACCATTTAATTCACAAAAATTTCAAAAAGGACCATTGTCATATTCTCTGCCATTGTCACATTGAAATTGCTTAATTTATCTTCCGAATTATGTTTTGATATATGCTCGAAATAAGAAGAAAATTTAATGAACTTGTGATTTTCGAGATATAGGAAAAGTCCATAAGAAATAACTATATTTATCAAGAAAAATAGCATAGTAACGATGACTTGATGAACTTAATATAGGAGATGTCCACAAGTCACTGTGAATTATATCAAATGGCATAGTAGTAAAATAATGAGTCATTAAAAGGCAATTTAGTGTTTTTTCCAAGAGGACAAGATTCACAGAAGGAATTGCAAGCTTGATTATATTTAATAAAATTATTACTACGAAGAGAATTCAAAATGACTTTTCCTGGGAGCCCTAAACGAGAATACCACAAATTTGAAGAAATGACAGGAAAAACGAATGGTAAAGCTGAAAGGGATAGAGATCACCCAAGCTATCATATCTCATTAGGTGTATTCCGGTCTGTAAATCCTTCACGGAAAACCCAAAAGGATCAAATTCATTGGACACCATATTATTGTTAGTGAATTTTTGAGCGGAAATAAGGTTTCTGATAAGTTTAGGTGCATGCAACACATTTTTAAGGCTCAACGGTGGATTTGTTTGGTTTTGTGAGGCACTTCCATAACCAAGAATAGAAATTGTATGACCATTACCAACAATAATGCCATTATGTCTGCTTAAATTAAAATAGGACGAGAGAGTACCTTGATTAGCAGTCATATGAGAGGTAGCACCTGTATCCATGTACCAATAGTCATTCAGTTGATGAAGTGAGAGTGTGTTCATAGCCGCATCTATGTCTGTAGGGACATGATTCATACTTGGGGTCGCTGTTGTGTAGTGGGTATGGGATGGTTCAGGTCCAAAGACTCCTTTTGTGGTTTGTGGACGAAGCTACCATCCCGTAGTGGGATATGGGCAAGGTGATTTGGCCCAAGTGTGAGGTGAGCAGGCATCCCAATGAGGCATGGAAGCCCATTGTTGCGGCTATGACGCTGCTGAATGTTGCTTTTGTCCCCTACCACAAGATCCACCACGATTTCCAAGGCCACCACGACTACCGTAATAGTTGCTGGGCCGCCATCCACACCCACCATGATTTTGGCTTATGGAATTACTATTCTCATTTTTATTTTCTTGAAGCTGTTTGGAATTATTATCACCAGAAACAAGATTATTATTGGAATTAATAAGCAAAGTAGAATCTGCACCTGATTCAAGAGTAGCACGTTGTTTCATGCTTTCTTCTTCTAATGAAAGCATCGAACGGGCTTGCGCAAAGGTGGGAAGAGGACCGCGGTGTTGAATGATGGTTACGAACCCCGCGTAAGCCTCTTTTAATCCATGAATCATTTTGAGAACCATGAGATCGTCAGACACTTTTGCGCTAATATTTTCTAATTGATCTGCCAGCACTTTAAGTCGCTGGCAATAGGCAACAACATTTGGAAAATCCCGAAGGTGAGTGTTGGTAAATTGGGTTTCAAGGTGAACGGCTCTCGTATTCTTGTTATCTTGGAACAATTCTGCTACACGGTTCCAGGCATCTTTTGCCTCATCTTCCAGAATAATGATAGTGTTGAGAATATCTGAAGAAACTGTACTATAAATCCATTGCGTGACAAAGGCATCAATCCTCTTGCAAGTTGATGTTTTGGCATCCGTCATGGTGGTGGCGGCTTCCGTAGGAGGGATGATGTGGTCAAGAACGAGGTGGGCAAGGGCATGGAGCTTGAAGAGAGTTGCCCAGTTGTTGTATTGGCCTCTTTTGAGATCAAGAGTGATGGGGATGGCTGTTTCGATATTAGTGACAGTGGTGGCGGGATAAAATTTTAAGTTAGCCATTGATGCAGAAAATAGGAGGAAAAAATAAACTAGGCTACTGATACCAAAAAGGAATATAATATCGTGTCTTGTATATTATTATCAAATCAATTTATACAATGTACAAGCTACAATTTGGTTAGCTGTTACAACAAATTAGGCTAACTTATAGGAGAATCTATATTCAACAAATTAGGCAAACTTATAGAAGAATGATAATATAATTTATATTATACAAATTTCGATAATAATATCTATCCGCAACATTGATGGTTTTATGAGCAATTTACTCTTTAAGTTGTGTTATTTCTTCTTTCATAAATTTTACATACAACATTTCCTTTTGTATTTGACACTTAAGTTCCAAAGTGCCAACCAATGTCATTATTTGTTGTACCTTTCAATTCTTTTTTTTGGGAACTCTTCACATGGTGGCATGCTCAATTTTCATTTATATACAAGAAACATAAAATTAGCACAAACCAAGCTACCTCAATGGTTAAAGAGAAGGTTCTTGTCCCTAGAGGTCATGTGTTCGAGCACCGACAATTGTAGGGTATTTGAGCATTCACTGTTGTTAGAAACTAGGGTTTCAAGAAGAAAATACAATATCATAAAAGAAATAACAATGAGAGGTAGTTCTTCATTGATACACAACAAAACTTTTTATACAGTAGTTACCCAGCAAGATAAAACTACAGATCTAACAACCGCTCGTAACAAATATGCTAACAACCTCATAACTGCATAATCGCCTACCACACGTCAGCAACAGTTGCAACACTCAAATTCTCTCTACTTTTTCCTCCTCCCCAAGAAAAGATTGAAGATTAACTTTAGCACGAAAAACTTTAAACTGAGCTACAGCTAGAGGCTTTGTAAAACCATTAGCAACTTGGTGACTACCTGGCACATAATTCACCACCACTTGTTTCAACGCAATCTTCTCACGAACGAAATGGACATCAAGCTCTACAGGCTTACTTTTTGCATGGTAGACACGATTAGCTGTCATGGCAACAACACTGTTGTTATTGCACCATACAATTGGTATTTTTTGCCTTGCAATACCCATATCACTCATAAGGGCACTCACCCACGTCGTTTAAGTAGTAACATCAGCAACACTCATGTATTCAGCCTCCATGGTGGACCTGGCGACCGACTTTTGTTTCCTAGAAGTCCACATGAGTACAATATCACCTACAAAAACATAGTTACCAGACATGACTTGTGATCATCAGTGTTTCCAGCCCAATCAATATCAGAAATACTACAACATTGAAGCCAGCCACTGCAGGTGTTATCACCAAACCATGATTAAGTGTTCCTACCAAATACTGCAAAAATCTTTTTACAACAACAAGATGTCCTTGTATTGGGGCATGCATGTATTGTGCAACCTTATTAACGTTGAATGCAATGTCTGACCGAGTATGACATGCATATAGCAGCGCTCCCACAACACTCCGATATTCATAGGCATCCTAAAGCAACAGACCTACATCTTGAGTCAACTTAGCAGATACAAGCATAGGTGTAGAAGCAAAATTGGCAGTACTCATCTTAGTCTTTATTAGCAATTCTAAAATAAACTTTAATTGACTAAGAATCAACAAACCTCCCACTGTTTAAATTTTATACCCAGAAAGTAACGAAGATCACCAAGATCTTTTAAGGCAAACTCATCCCCAAGCAACCTCACCACTTCTTCAATTTGCACATTCGACTCACCAGTCAACACTATATCATCAACATACACAAGCATATTGACCCATCGACCGTCTGCACAACGAACACATAATGATGTATCTGCTGAAGATTATTTAAAATCAATTCTAACTAGGAAACTCTTAAGCTTATCATTCCAGTTTCGAGGAGCTTGACGTAGACTATGCAAAGCTTTCTGCAATTTACACACCAAAGGACTACCATCAACAATTACTTGTTCAAACCCAGACGGCTATTGCATGAAAACATCCTCATACAGATCACCATGCAAGAATGAATTATTCAACTAAACCTAAAGCAAATGCCAACCCTTTGTTACAGCCAAAGAAAGAACAACATTTAGTGTAGCAAAATTAACAACTGGGACAAACGTCTCACCAAAATCATGTCCAGACACCTACGAGAACCCTTTTACTACTAACCTAGCTTTGTATATGCTAACAAAACCATCGGGGTTCTTCTTTAATTTTAAAAGCCATTTGCACCCAACCACTGATCATCCTTCAAGAAGCTTCACAAGGGTCTATGTACCATTCGTCTGCAATGCTTCAAACTCTACATGAACTGTAACTCTCCAATGAGAAGACTGAAGTGCCTCATGCACATTTACAGGTTCCATATCATCATAGCTAGCCGAATACAACTTAGGCTTGAATACACTACATTTACTTCTTGTCAACATCGAATGACGATTCAAAGAGATGCCACCACTTTCCATCGAACCTTCACCATTATCAGGCCTCGTAACAACTGTTTGTAATGAATGAGCAACGTTGGCAAGTGCAACAGGGCCTGTCATAGACTTCACTAGATCCACCAACTCAGTATCCTCAGCTGCACTAACTAAGGTTGCACCATCAACCTCTTGTTGAACTGCTGCTCCTAGAAAAGTAACACCCATATCCATAGTAGCTTGACTCATCTCACCATAATCCTCGGTTGCATTAAATGAGGTTGCACCAGCTACCTCTTGCTGAACTGTTGCTCCCAGAGAAGTAACACCCGCATCCACAGTAGCCTGACCCGTCTCACCAGAAATATGAGAAGCTTGCACCGTACGAGTTCCATTGGTTTAAAACTAACACATATCAGTCAAAAGTTCAAGCGTCGTGGACTTATGTTTACAAGAAACAAAATCATTACTTGAACTATCAACCCTTGCAAATGGAAAAACCAATTCAAAAAATTACACGTCTAGAAACATATATCTTCCCAATAGCTGCTAGGCACATATAACCCTTGTGTTGTGGGTTATAACCCAAAAAGGTGCATGGTTGAGATCGAAACTCAATTTTATGTTTCTGAAAAACTATCAAGTGAGGAAAACACTTGCACCTAATGACCTTCATAAACTCATATTCTGGTTTCTTCCCCCACAAATTCTCGAGTGGTGACACCCATCCAAGACCCTAGTATGAAGCCGATTAATGAGAAATACCGTAGTAACATCTGCATAATACTAATAACGTAAAGTCATAGTTGTCTGAGCTAACAACACCAAATCAAGCTCAATGATATACCAATGCTTTCTTTCTGCTTGAATGTGTAAGGACAAGCAATACGATGAGTAATCCCATCTTTCAATAGAACATACAAGAGACTACGATATTTCCCACCCCAGTCGATTTGCACAACCTTAACAGACAAACCAAACTGAGTAGAAATCATTTACTGAAATAACTTGAACATATTCATTTCTTGCAATCTAGCTTTCAAGAAATAAACTCAAGTATGCCTCGAATAGGCATCAATAAACGACAAATAATAATAAAATCCATTAGAAGAAATGTGAGATGGCCCCTATATATCAGTATAAACAAGTTGAAAGGGCTTAATGTACACAGTATTGGAGTGAAAAAAGGTAGTTTATGGCTTTTGCCAATGGAACAAGCCTCACATATCTTATTCATAGCTTTGGGAACATGTACATCAAGAGTCTGACACACACTAGCAAAGTATTATACGCTACATGCCCTAACCTTCTATGCCAAAAACTGTAAACATCATCAACCATAAAAGAATTAACAAAATTTTTTTACAAACAATTGAAGTACTATTATTAGGAAACACATAAATCCCTCATTACATACGCTCTTGAAGAAGCATCTAGAGTAACAACATCACGAATGCAGTAGCCTTGAGCATTAAACTCAAAAATCACGTTGTTGTCCCTAGTAAACTTAGATACAAAGAGTAAATTTTGAGTTATACTAGGCACATGAAGCAAATCACTAACTAACAATATTTTAGAGGTAGATTTTAGGGTCGTATCACCAACAAGATTAACAACTAATGAAACACCATCACCAATAACCAGCTTACCTGGACCGCTATGACAAGTGCGATGAGTTATAATATCAGCATTTAGAGTCACGTGATGCGTAGCACCAGAGTCAACAACCCACTAATCTTTCTCAGATGCTTGAGAATTTGTATTAGTCGAAGTATGAAGTCAAGAACCCTTCGAACAAAATGTACAACTGCAATTATCATAGGCAGTCGTGTTGACTTGAGCAAAGTCTTCTACATACCGTAAATGACTACTACTAGCAATCTAATAATCTTCATCATAGTGATGTCAATAGCGATTGACCAGATCCCCAAGCTTACCACACAATTGACATTAAATATGTGGCCAGTCACGACCACACTAGATCTGCCACTTGAATGAGTAACAGATAAACATTATTTATTATAGTTTGAATACGAACGTTTAGAGAAATCACCTGAACCAGATCCATGAGTAAGATGAGCAGTAGCTACTATAGTTTCTTCTTGAGCAGCGAACCCAACAAGTTACATCTTTGCATCTATAAGCATAGTTCATACCTTATCCAAAGGTAACATATCACTACTCATTGTAATAACATCCATAAAAGGTTGATATTCACAAGGCAAACCCTTCAAAATACTAGCAATATGCCTTACTAGAGGAATTGAACTCCCACACGAAGCCAAAGCATCACAGATTTCTTTAACCTTAGCAATATACACGCATATTGTCTTCTCCCTTCTTGAAAGACTGAAGTTTACAATGTAAGCTCATTACCGAAGTTGATGACCAATTCACAAAGTACTGCAACACCGTACTCGAGATAGAAGTTGTTGTCTCAACACCAACAAATCGAGACAGAAGATGTGGACTAATAGTAGAAAGCAACCATAACGCCAATGCACTATCCTGTGCTACAAAATCATCATATGCCTCTTTGAGAACAAGACTTTTTTTTTCATCGACAATCATTTCAGGTGGAGGCTTCATACCACCGGTAAGAAGACACTCAAGGCGA